CGGCATCAACACGAACATGTGCGCGGCGCTGTTGCACATCGTCTCGGACCTCGCGCGGTCGTCGACGACCTTCGTCGAGGGCATCATCCTCCTCAAGGTGACGTCGATCCCGGCGACGCGGGCCGACGGCGTCTCGACGCTCGTCGTCTGCTCCATCATCGCGGTCGGCGCGTCCGCGGCGATCCTCGCGTGGCTCCGGGAGGTCTACCACTACGTCACGGCGCAGAAGCCCGAAGGGTACGCGAGCCTCAACGGCGACGAGCCGACGCGGAGCATGGTCTAGGCGGTTTTAAGAGAATGGTCGATCACTGCAACTCGAAGACAAACACTCCTCCGTGAACTTGGCCGACATGGCGTGACCGCGCTGTCACTGCAACTTGAAGTTCAACACTCCTTAGCCTTGGACCTTGATAAACTTGGTCTGGGAGGGCGTGGCCGAGCATCTGTGCTGCGCGCTGCTGTGCTAGCGTCGACTCGTTGCTGCAGAGCGTACTCTGCTGCCTTTGCGTCGTCTCGGAGAGCACTACGTCATGTGGCCGCGCGTCGTCGCTCTGCTCGCCTGCACCAGCGCGCTGCGGCCGCACACCCATGCGCCGCCGCGGCGCCGCGCGGTGGCGCTGCGCGCCGGCGAATTCGTGCCCGTGGGCGCGGTCCGCGCCGGCGAGGTGACGCGCGTCGAGAGCTACGGCTGCTTCGTGAAGCTCGACGACGGCGGCGCGTCCGGGCTCGTGCACGTGTCCGAGCTCTCGCACGAACGCGCGCGCCCCGAGGACGTCGTCGCCGTCGGCCAGCCCGTGCTCGTCAAGGTGCTCGCGCCGCGCGAGCCGGGGCGGACGTCGTTCTCGCTCAAGGCCGTGGACCAGCGCACCGGCGCGGCGTCTGCGCCGCCGAAGCGGGCGCGGAAGCCGGCGGCGACGACGAAGGTCTCGCTCGACGACTGCGTCGTGTCCTACAGTCGCGCGTCCGGCGCCGGCGGCCAGAACGTGAACAAGGTGTCGACGAAAGCCGAGCTGCGGTTCAGCGTCGACGACTCGAAGCTGCCGCCGGCCGTCCGCGCGCAGCTCCGGGCGACGCACGCGGCGCGGTTG